CCCCCCTCCCCCTCCTACCGTATTCACTCTCTGCGAGAGGTAAAAACACTTTGAAGTAACTCACTTGATCGTACGTGCCAACAGCAAAGCTACTCCTTTCGAGAACTGCTTCTAAGCAAGCTGATGGTAGCTGACAGGACGAAAAAACATACAAATAAATGTGAAAGACTAAGTTTTTGCTTTAAGCCATAGGAAAGACTTACTTTAACCATAAAGGCACTCCGGTCAACAAGTTTCGTTCGACGGAGAAGACTTTTCAGTTCATTCAGTGCTATCACCCATTTAGTCTTCTCCTGAAATAACAATGTTAAAATATCTTAAAAAGTGAATCCCATCCTAAAAAGTGAAGAATGGCCGCAGCACTTAGCAAAATACGGTGATTCTTGGCAGCCTGTGCAAGATGTTGAAAATAAAAAAAATATGAATGCTCAAGAAAAACCAGAAACCTCATGATTGTCGGCCATAAGGAGAGTGTACTGGCGTGAGACAGGTCCTTCGGAAGTGCCACTTCCGCTGCTTGATGTTGATCCGGTGGTGTTGATACCCGATGTTGGCAGTGTACCATGTATCTGACTCGTTGTAATACGGAATATTTTTGGCAAATCGGACCTCGATGCATGAATAACATCGGACTCCGTAACGCCAGTTACTGTGAAATCCGAATCTCGCATATCCAGTACCTGAAGGGCAGTCAAAGAGCAGTCATCGGTCATTTTTCGCAGAAATTTAACAAAACAGACAAACTTGTTCATACTGATATCGAAGCAGAAGGGACATTGTTACCTGCCGAATTACAGGATGAATATCGACTGCTTTTCCATGCTTATCGATGCTGCAGTCATAAAGGTACAGCTTGAAGTCACAAACAACCACGTAGGTTGCCTGCCAACCTCTTTTAACGCCAGACGGCTTCGGCGTTTTCACCAAGCCTAAATAATTCGTTGTTTTTTTAAAAGACCTGTAAACAATCCCTATCAAATCTGAGTTAAAAATTCCAAATTCTTTGTGATCAGAACACATGAACGGCACAGTTCCGGGAAAAAATAAGGTTTACCTTCGTATGCGGTGCCTATTCCTTTTTGTGGGTCAATGCCCAACGGTCTTCTGGCTTCAGGCGGCACTGGACATATCGGTGGCACTTTCGGCAAGCAACTAACGTGGCAGGCATATTGACAGTCCTGACAGAACAGTCCTGAAATGCATCGTCATACGCATTTTCGAAAAAAATTACGCCATAAGCTTCCCTTCAGCTCGTCGCTGATCTGTTTTTTAACTGGCTACTTGCTTATCGCTTTTTCAGCATTTTTCCTGCTGCAAGCAATTAATTTGTTGTA